TTGGCAAAGGAGAGGAAGACCTCAAAAAGATGAATTGATACAGTGACTGTAACAAGGGGATTGAGCGTTACCAACGTTGCTAAGGACAGGACCGGATATGAAAGGTTCAGTGCCCTTCTTCATAGGGTCGTTCTGAGTTACATTTGATTCAATGGCACCTAACAACAACAACAACAGGTCTCTTAAATGGCTCTGGTGGAACAGTCTGCAGCACTGTTAGAAGGCTGTTGCCTCCAGCAGTTCACCTTCAGCAGCAGCTCTGGAGAGGACGAAATCTTTTCCCATTCGGGTGTACCATGTCAGAGATTCAGCAGAGGGTTGCTATGAGGATCAATCAATAGCAATGAGTTTAAGTTGAGAAGCTAAGATGCTCAAACCAGAGAAAGTTCTTAATCTCAAACCACTTGTCTTTCGAGATAAATTCTCGTATACTGTGGAAGAAAAGGAAGTTCAATTTATCAGTCTTCAGCTGGGTAGCTAGCTGTTGAGATACACCGGCTTCTTATTCTCAATTTCACATTGTTAGGAACTTTCATGAAGCAACCGATTGCAAGCAAGAGGCCATCTTTTTATAAAAGTGAATAAAAAGGAAGAAAAATACTGTTTAAGCAGGTTGTTAATAACTCTGAAGAACGGGTAGGAAATAATCCCCAAGCATACCCCACCTCTGATTAAGCACACTCAACAGTAATCAAGGTACTTATTTGGAGAAGATTAATAGGTACATTTCACAGCCCCCATATGAAGGGTATACACACTTATTATATTTTATAGATATCGCTACTTAGGTAAAAGATTATCTCAATAGAGCTGTTTTCTTGACACTGAGCCTCAAGCACTTCAGGTCATCCTCAGTTTCAGCAAGCAGGGTTGTGTCATCTGCATAATGCAGATTGTTGATAGATCTTCCACCAATCCTGATGCCACATTTCTCCTCATAGAGCCCAGCCTCCCAGATGATCTGTTCTGCATACAGGTTGAAAAGGTATGGAGATAGGACACATCCCTGGCGCACACCCTTCCCAATTTTGAACCATGCAGTGTTCCTCGCTCTGTTCTGATGACTGCCTCTTGGTTCAAGTATAAGTTTTGCATTAGCACGATCAAGTGTTCTGGGATTCCCATTCTTCTCAGAGTCAGCCACAGTTTGTTATGGTCCACACAGTCAAACGCCTTGGCATAATCAATGAAGCACAGATAGACATTCCTCTGGTTCTCACCACTGGACCAATTGGCAGCATCAGGATGCATGGTGAAGAGATTGAGATTGTTCACAGCTTTAGTCTGCTTGGCTCCACAATCAACACTCTTGGCACCAGCAGCCAGGAAATTAAAAGGCGTATTGCAATGGTAAAGTCTGCTGTTAGGGACCTTTCTAAAGTACCCAAGAGCAACGGTGTGTCTCTGGAGACTAAGGTGTGTCTGGTACAGGCCATGGTCTTTGCAATCACTTGTTCTGCATCAGAGAGCTGGACAGTGACCAGGGAGGATAGAAGGAGAATTGATGTTTTTGAGCTTTGGTCTAGGGGAAGAGTGCTGAGGGTGCAATGGACTGCTAAGAAAACAGATTCATCCTAGAGAGGGTTAAACCGGGCTGCTCCTTGGAGGCAAGGATTCTGAGGCTTCGTCTAACATACTTTGGTCATGTTGTAAGGAGGGACCGGTCCTTGGAGAAGGACATCATGCTTGGGAGGGTGGAAAGCAGGCGCAGGAGGGGAAGGCCCCCTGGGAGATGGATTGATTCGGTGACTGGGGCAATCGGGATGAGTGTGTCAGAGACAATGAGATTGGCACAGGACAGAGCAGAGTTTAGAGCTGTTGTACACAGGGTCGCTATGAGTCGCAAGCGACTCAACGGCACATAACAACAACAATAGATCTGAGGAAGCAGGGAATGTGAAACATTACTTAAGGAAATTATTCTCAAGTCTGGAGTTTCTCAAGTTTATTCAAAGTAACAACAGGCTTGCATTAATTCCCAACATAGCCCAAATTTTATATTGCTTGGTTTCCAAGAAGCCAAAGGCCCGTTCGTGCAGCCTCCAAGACCAGCCTGAAACTTTGCCTTTATAAATATTAAATATTCCCCCTCATAGTCACTGACTTATTGCTTGGCCCAGAAGGAAAACAACTCTCTGGAGTGTTTCATTCACTGGGGGAAAGTTGTGTACCATTGAGTTGGAACCAATTCGTAGCTGATCCTACAGTAGGCTTTTAGAGGAAGTAAATCGCATGGGAAAATATTGCCCAACTTTTTGCAGAACGGCTGGCTAGATGTTTTGAATTGTGTTCTTTTGGGTTGGCTGCACAACTTCTTACCACTAAGCCCCAGAGTTCTCCAAGACAAGTCCAACAGGCTATTAAGACGTATAGAAACAAAGTCCTGTCAGCACCTTCAAGTAAAGGAAGAACTAACAGGAGACTGTTCTGAAAACTTGGAAGAGAGGAGCCACAAAGAGGTCAAATGAAGTAGATTGAAACCTTCCAAACAATTTGGCAATTCTCATGGCTGGTTAACTTCAAGGAAGAGTTACACTTGACGCAATGGTACATAGTAACAACTAGTAGCTTGTGGTAAGGAATTGTGCTGTCAATCCAAAGGCATGCAATATAAATCCACCAGCTGTACCTCCTGTGTGATTTACAGCCTCTGAAAACCCATCGAGTTCTGAGTCGGTCCAACATGACAGTATAAAAACAATAACAACAACTAGAAGGTCAGTGCCCCATTTCATCAGAAAGTAGCTACACAATATGAGACTTCCATTTCTGTCAAGAATGAGGAAGATAAAATCTCTCAGGAAAGTATAAAATAGTATAGTATTTTATCAGCCTCTCCTGATATCTTGTACTTGCCTTAAATCCTGCTATCCATTAACTCCTGATGATTGCTACACTTCTCTTGCCATAAGACGTTGAAAACCTGGTATGAAGCAAAACTAGTTAAAATCAGGAGCATGTGCAGAACACCATTCAAGACTAAGGGCTGACTCTCCAAGACAGGAAGTAAAACTACCCACCAGACAGGGGATTCCAACCAGAGGGCCTTGCTACACAGCACACTTGCACCATCCATAAATGATACTTTATTACCCAAAAGCCTCTGCAACAGCTTATGTCTTAAAGAACCACCTATGCATGCACTAAATTACCATAACCTCATGACTATTTCCCAGAGAAGGACTTAAAATGCCTGCTGCTGAGAATCAAAGACCATAGTCTTCAATACAGAATGCAGCTCAACATCAAAAAGATTAAGATCTTCACCACCGGACTGATAAGCAACATCATGACAGATGGAGAGAAGACCGAAATCGTCAACTGTTTCATCTTACTTGGATCCACAATCAACACATTTGCTACTAGCAGTCAGGAGATCAGGAGATGTATTGCATCAGGCAAGCCCTCTGTCATGAAAGGTGTTCTGCACATGCTCCAGGAACTGATTTTAACTAGTTTTGCTTCATACCAGGTTTTCAAATTACTGAGGAGCAATGGTATCAGTTTTAAAACTAAAATGTGCCTGGTTCAGGCCATGATCTTTTCCATCACTTGCTATATACATCTGAGAGCTGGATGACAGAGGAATTGATGCCTTTGAGCTGTCTTGTTGGAGAAGAATAATGAATATCCCATGGACTTCCAAAAGAACAAACAGGTATGCCTTGGAGAAAGTACTGCCAGAATGCTCCTTGGAGGCAAAGAAGACAAAGCTTGGTCTCACATCCTTTGGGTATGTGCTAGGAGAGGCTGTTCCTTAGAGATGGGCATCATGTTTGAAAAGATGGAGGGTCAGTGAATGAGAGAAAGACCCTCAACAAGGTGATTGACACAGAAACTGCAGTAATAGGCTCAAGTGTGTTACAGATGATGAGGATGGCACAAGATAGGACAGGTTGCAGATCTGTTGTTCATAGGGTCGTTATGAGTCATATTTGACTTGATGGCACCTAACAACAACTTATGAATAAACATGAAATCCCTTCTAACCTATTCTTATAACCTAACCCCCATATTCTTCTGTATAATGAGTCATAGGCTAGTTTCCCTTTGCAAATTGGTTTTACTTTGCCAAGTATTTCCCCCTAATAAACCTCTTTCCATGCTTACAAAGCCAAGCCAGGACTCCTGTTTCTCTCTTCTTCTTTAGCAGGGGAAGGATCCCAAACTTAGAGCCTAGAGATATTTTACTCTGGCAACAAACGGCTTAATTTTGTGGATGCATATAAACATCCCCTCCTTACACCATCCGTTTTGCCATAGGGAATACAGTTCTAACAATCGGCCTGGAGAGGGTGAAGCTAGGCTGCTCCTTGGAGGCAAGGATTCTGAGGCTCCATCTAACATACTTTGGACATGTTGAAAGGAGGAACCAGTCCTTGGAGAGGGACATCATGCTTGGTAGTGTAGAGGGACAGCGCAGGAGGGGAAGACCCTCAATGAGATGGATTGATTCAGTGACTGGGGTAATGAGGATAGGTGTATCGGAGACAGCGATTGGCACAGGATAGAGCAGGGTTTAGGGCTGTTGTACTTAGGGTCGCTATGAGTCGCGGGCGACTCGATGGCACATAACAACCTTCTAGTAAATGACTAGAAATCCCGGCTGGCTTTTCTTACGCCTTACTTTCTGCAGTTGCAAATCCTCGCAGTGCTACGACTTCCGGGGAAACTGAGTCTACAGTCCCGTGGCCAAACGCCCCAACAATGTGCGACTCCCAGAGTGCGACAGAGATCTGCTGTCCCGCGGCTGGCCAGCTTTCCCAATTCTTGTTCCCCTCCCGCCCGTAGCCCCAACGCCAATCAGAGCAGCGCGAAGCTCTGGGTTGTAGCGTCCGGAGGCCCGGGACCCGCCCCTCTTTGTTGCGGTGGCCAATGGACGCATTCGGAACATTGGCGGCTGCCCGGGTGACTCTGTTATATGTCACGGAATAACATTCGAGAATGGAAAATGGAATGAGGCGACAACCGTCGCCGCAGCGAGCGCCGTTTCGGCCACCGGGAGAGGCTCTGCAGCAATGAAGCCCGCCGGGCAGAGGTAGGGTCCGGGGAGCTGCGGCGCGCCCTCCCGCGGCTCCTCCTCCGGCGGCGCGCAGGCGGCGATTTCCTCCAGCTCCGTGCTGTTGGAACTCGGAAGCTCGGGTCGGGAGGAGGTGCTTCCACCTCACACCGGGTTCAGGGCTACCCACTCGGCCGCCGGGGTCGGGAGGGTTCCCTGGAAGCCATGGGGCCGCCTTTGCAAGCCGTGGCGTCTACTGCGCTCTCGCGCCAACCCGGGCGCTCACGTGCCGGCATGTTCTTGGCGCAGCTCGGCTCGTAGCCTTGCCACATCTGGAGACTAAGAAATGCATGGAGCCTTTGGGGACCTCCTTTTCTAACACACTGCACGAGTTGCCTTTCTTCTCCCTCTACTCCCTATAAATGCACAATCACCTCCACGTTCCTGTGATTTCTTCCTCACTCCCTTCCTGGTGTTGAGGTGGGTGTGAATCTTTGTGGCAATTTCCAACCCAGCTTTCTAGGTAATCATAGGGCTCGATTACGGATTCAGTGCCTTAGGTGATTTGTCAGCCCAGTAGGGGAACAAGAGACAACCTGAGCCGCAGCTCCTCCACTCCTCTTGGACACACCTCAGCCTTGATTCCTCTGGGTTTCTACTTAGCTGGCTGTCTGATGTGTCTCCATTGATTTCAGGCACAGCCCTTGAGCAACAGCCGCTTCACCCCCTTCCCGCGTTCTGCGGCAGCGAGAGGCATGAAGAACACCGCCCCCGCGGGGCGCTGATCCCTATAAAGCGCCCGAGCACACGCCCCTAGCCGCGCGCCCCACCACTGCCTGCCCCGCCCTGGCCCCGCCATGACCGGCTCTGCTGCCGACACTCACCACTGCCCCCACCCCAAAGGCACCAAAGGCACCCGGTCCCGGAGCAGCCACGCGCGGCCAGTGAGCCTCGCCACGAGCGGGGGCTCGGAAGAGGAGGACAAAGAAGGCGGGGTGCTGTTTCATGTTAACAAGAGCGGCTTCCCAATTGACAGCCACACCTGGGAGCGCATGTGGATGCACGTGGCCAAGGTGCACCCCAAGGGAGGTGAAATGGTGGGCGCCATCAGGAACGCCGCGTTCTTGGCAAAGGTCAGTGGCTTCGGAGTGGTTATGGGGTGGGGGCAGTGAGAGGACCAATTCAACCTGCACACCACAAATAGAAATAAATTCCGTTTTTACTGGCCCAGCTAAGCAGTCCCTTGCTCTACCTATTCCAAGTCCCCCAACTCTCATCCCCCTACTCGTCCTTAATTGAGATGTTTTTCTTGGAAGCCTTAGAAATGGAGGAGGGAAGACCAAGGCGTGCTGTTTCAGACTGTGTTGTTGGAAATGCCAAGGGTTTTTTGTTTTCCTTTGATCCTAGAGCCAAATTCTTTTATCAACACCCCCACTAACTCCTCCCGCAAAAACTATATGCAGCCTGCTTTAACACTAGCAATGCCGAGAATGCAGGGGACCGCCAGGCATCCCTACCTAGCTTTTTCTCATTTCAGTTTCATGGGGTCCCTATAAGCCGTCCTCGACTCCAGGACACCTAACAACAATAACAACCACATTTCACCCTCACCCCCAAATCATTTATCCGGCTTTGACCGAATTTTGCTCAGTCTGAATAGGAATAATTTCCAGACTTTTTGGCATTTTTTATTATTTGATAGTGATTTCACCTCTGAAAGTTGCAAAAAGGTGGGCCCGCTCTCTTCCTGGCTTGTCTGATCTCCAAGGGACAGGGAGGGTTGGACTGTGGCTTGCAAGGGGCTTTCCCATACACATGATGAATCAGTCTAACTGGATAGAGATAAGCTGAAGAGTCAAGCACCTTTTCCTTGGGCAGAAGCCAGTGCGTTGTGTCTCACAGTCAGGATGTCACTAGCATAGTGGTATAGGTCATGTTCAGGGAGGAGGTGAACTGGAAGGAGAAGCTGTTTTGTGTGAAACACTCCGTGCAAACTGGGAAGAAATGCTGCAGAGCCTGGGGAAACGGGATGGCAGATGGTTTGCCCTGGACCTGGGGATATTGGAATGGCTGAGGGCATTCCTGGACAGGTCGTGAAATGCCAGACCTGAGAGCTGGAAAGCCTTCTGGTTGGGCAGTCTGGTCTGGTTCCCAGCCTGGTGACAGCTGAGCGGGTGAAGGAACCAAGTGTGCCCTTGGGGAAGCCGCAGAGCCACCAAGAGCCCTGCTGTGGTCAGTGCGTTATCACTCTGCCTCACCAGTCAAGATCTTCATTATGCCCAGCTTGAATTTTGCCTGCGTTAGTGCCAGCTGTCCATTAGCCTTGCTTAGTTCTCCTTTAGCGTGTGAAAAATGCTGGTCCTGGCTGGCTTAAAGTTCTGACTTCAAGACTTTTCTTTTTCATCAGGAGCAAAGAGAGATGCTCCCCCAGCCCATGCTGCCTTTCTGACTCAACACCCTTAGCACACACCCCCCAGCTGTGGCTTCAGTCTTTCCCCTGCCTTCTGTGTGAGGAACCCTTTCTCTCCATGGGAACCATGGAATTTCAGAGAAGGAACAGTCAACAGAATTCCAACCTTCAACATTCCATCCTTTTTCCAAGTGTCTCTTGGGAGTGGAGACTCGTGCCTTGCCAGGCAGGCTCTCTCCTCAAGCTGGCCAGATTAGTTAGGGAGGTGGAACAAAAGTCCTTCCTCCTATATTCTCAATCATATTTCCCCACTAAATCTTAGATTCTCTTAGAATAAAAGCGGAACATGCCCAACTTCTTTGGCAACTTCCAATTGCTTGGAGTGCCACAAAGCTATGCTCTGTGACAGGAGAGGCTAAGAGTAAAAATCAAGGGACTGAAGTCAAGCCATGGTTCTGCTATATCTTGCCCTGTGCTAAGTAATCACTTAGCGTCTCTGGCTTTCGCTTCCTCATCTCTAAAATGAAAATAAGATTTCCTGGTGGTATAGTATAGTATGTTTTGCACTATTATCTTAAAGGCCAGCTGCTTCTGAGAAATAAGGCAGTCTTTTCCTGTAAAGATTTATAGCCTCTGAAACCCGGTAAAGGATTACCGTGAGCCAGAATTGGGTTTGGCTTGATTTGAAAATAAGAGATTAGGAAGCATGTAAAATTCTCCTCCACTTTCACATCCTGTGGTTTTGTGATCCTTGGTGTCTCCAGGCCTCTACTGCTGGCTGAATGAAGCTGTGGGCTGATGAGTCCTCACGACTTCTGCATCTTTACTTTTCCTGGTCTTCAAGCAGCACTTTTACTCTTTTGTTAATGGTTAACTTCCAGACCTCCCCACTCCCCTGGGATAGTTCTAGAACAATTGCCAGTTAGTCTCCTAAAACAAACACTTGTGAAAAAACAGTCTTTTAAGATACTGGCTAAATAGTAGGGAATATGGAATTCTACTTCCTGTGACCTGTCCTGGCTTCCATTATTGTTGTGGAATGCTATTTTAAAAAATTGTTCACTTTTTGATATATCGCGACCACGTGACATTGTACTTTCATAATATGCTAATGGCCACTTACAGCTTCCAGATCTTTTTCCTATGAGAATTACTGCCAGGCCAAGACTCCCTTTGCCCAGCTTTGGACAGTTGGCTTTTTGAACCCAAATAAAGATTTATCATTTCTCTGCCTTACATTAAACCTTATTGGTTGGTTCTCCATCTTGACATACCTCCCTACCCCCCAAGCCCTGGACCCCACATACTGGAATGGAAACTGCTTAAGAACTCTCATTTCTCGGGACCACACTCGAGCTATTTCTGCACTGAGCTCAGCCGACTTTCCTCTGGAGCCAAGTCCTTTTGCCCTCCAACCAAATAAATGTCTTGTGAGGAATTTGGAAGAATGATAGGGAGTGGGAAGTACTCAGAGTCAGTGTTGGAGAGCCCTCGGGAAATTAACTGTTTCTAGCCATTGAAAGGTCTGTAAGGTTGAGTGACATTTCCTTTGACTGCCGGAAATCCCATCTGCAGCCATAATAGAATCTGCTTGGGGATCCAGGTGCCCTCTTCATTCAAACTTACCTGCTGCATGAACTCTCTCTTTACATTTGTGAATGTAGGCTTCTCCTCTGGAGACTACCAGTCTCTAGGTTAGCCCTTGACTAGTGCGAGGTTGGAGTTTTAACATCATTGTTGATGTTAAGAGAAAGAGATAATAGAGGAGGAGAAAGGAGGGGGCAGGGAGAGTAACTAATTGAGGGCAACCAGCCATGGTGTGTGCTTGGAAACTGCTCCTGCTGCCCTGGGCTGACTGGAGCCTGACTCTTTTTTAATTTTTTTAAAATTTTTATTATTTTTGTGTGAGTGTACCATCAAATCAGATCTGACTGGTACAGGAGGAAATTGTCCCTCCTTCCCCGGCAGAGCATCTGATGGATTCGAACTGTGCGCCTCTGGGATTGTAGTTGCAGCTCCTTGCCACTAGGCCACCAGAGCTCCCCGAGCCTGACTCTTTGAAGTTCAGCGAAACCAGATGGATTCAGCAAGAGATGTCTGTCAGCAACTCCTTCGCTTTTATGTCTGTTTTCATGTTGATTCCAAATTGGGGCATAATACCTAGTTAAAGGACAGAACTTCACTTGGGTGAAAAAGTGCATGTGTGCTTGTGAATGGACACTTTATTGGTGTGTCAGGGCTGCACTCCTGGCCCCCTGCTGGCTCACCCCTTCTTTGCTTCTGGATTGACAACCATCCATCAGTCTATCCTGTGCAGCACCACCAAGGATGTGACCTTAATCCTAAGGTCCATACCAGACAGGTCACTGTCAGCAGACTCCTGGATGCCTCTTACGGCAAATGTGGGACTCAGCTTGGGTCCTTGGCTGCTGTTCAGAGCCTCCTCATCTCTATGCAATCAGGCTACTGTAGAGAATTCCTCTCCTGCCTGTGCACTCTTCAGAGTAGAGATGGGCAAAAGGCTTTGCTGTCACCTTGCTGTTGCATGTGAAGGATTCCTGGGGCCTGTGAGGCCCTCACCACTTCGTCAGTCCCTTCCCACCTTCCCCTGCTCTCTCACATGGTGATGCCATATACTTCCCTGTGTCCATTGGCTATGACTTCTTGCATTCCTTCAGGAGGTCAGCTGTATTTGGAAAAAATGGAGTGGAAGAGTCTATGCACATGATGCTTGACTGTGTTTTGATGTTGTTTTGAACAACAATCCTCCTGCCCATACCACTTCTTCTTCCTGTCCCGCTATAACCCCTTGTGCCCCCATCTCCCAACTGTGGGCTCCAAGACTATGTGGGTAGGTTGGCTTTGATCAGTTCCCTCTAGATTCTGCATTTACAGCTGGTTGGGGGTTCAACTGGGCTGGTGGCAGGAGGCAAGAGGTGGGAGCTTTGAGAGGAGTTGGAGTTTCAGATAGCAATTGATGAGATGGGACAAGAAAGAGCATTAGGAGAGACACTTAGGACCCTAATAGGGGAGAGAAAAGGTTGTGTCAACTTCTATTCCCACCAGTGAAGCTGAGGCGCGTCCTCACTGGCTCTCAGAAAAAAACTGAAGCTCATTGCTCTGAAGTTATACTCATAGCTGACCCTCCATTTGGTTTCTTAGGTGGTAAATAGCCTGAGAGGAGAGTGCCCAACTTTCTCCTTAGGAGTTGTTGGGGAAGGCTTTGGAAGGCTTTGCCCTTGGGTTCTCAGCACAGCTCCATACAGACTAAACCACCAGAGCTGCCCTCTCTAGTTTTGGGCAGAATTTCTTTGCTAACTGATCTGGTGAAAGAAGGTCTGAAGTAGATGATATTGGAAAAACAGACTTGGAACAATCATGCAGTTTGTCCAGGCTCCAGAGCAAGCAGGCAACAGAGTAGAGATTTGACCTTAGTTGTGTCTGTCTTAAAATTAGACTCCAGGAAGCCCACCTGGTTTCTAGCTCATTTTCCTGTATGGGCATTGGAGCCCAAGGTGCTATTTGGAAACTGACCTCACATTTGAGCCTCAGCCAGCTGTCCCAGACCTCAGAGTGAGTAGTAGTAACCAGATGACATCATCCCTTTCAGAAATCTGGCCTCCTCCACCACAGCCCTGTTCCCCAGTTGGGGTTTGGGGAATGTATGCATTTGTCCTCTCAGTGAGGGGGGAATGTGACCACAGCTCCAAAGCTGTGCTTGCAGCTGAGGCTGAAGTAACTATACAGCTGTTTTTAAAAGCTCTTGGGCGCCACGAGGCTGCTCTCTTGAGAACCAGCTGCCACCTGCCTCCCACCCCTCCCACCCGGCTCTTGTGGGCCCTGGTGGATTTGGGAAGAATTTCAGTAATTTGGTGATTGGTCCCCAAACAGAACCAAATAATTCTGGCTACTCTCTGGGGATCTTTTAGGTAACTAGTGATTCTTGGAGATATTTTCCACACTTAACCAGGTTCTGTATAAAAATATACTTTCATCTTAATAAACTAGAAAACTTCTCCCCTCCACTGTTCCTGTGCCCCTTCTCTTTTTGTAACTGGCATGTCGCGGGGCGTTTAGGAGATGCTGGAGAATGTTTGTTCACATCTCCTCACCTCACTTCTCTGTGAAGGCTCTAGCACACTCTCACACGGAATACCTGAGTGTATCAGTAGATGTTCAGCAAAAATTAAAGGCAAACTTGACACTTCTTAGATACACGGACGTGGTGATGCATTTCCTTTTATGTCCGTGTGGGTTTGGAGGAGGGGCATGTGAAGAAATGTTCTAATTGAAACATAACCTTGTTCCCCATAACGACTCTCTAGAGAGCTAATATGTTGTAAATGCAATGTAGCTGGGTGAACATTCCAGCACACACATATACATCCTCTCTCTTTCCTTCTCTTGCATTCTTTCTTTCTCCCATTCTCTCTCTCTCTCTCTCACACACACACACACACACACACGTACACTTTGGCTGTGAAATAGGAAGTGTGACTAGTTTTTTTCTGTGAAAAAAGACATTTCAAAAGTGAGAGATGATAGAAAAAGAATGCCAAGGAGCTTTCTGAGTAAATGCAGGAAAGTGAACAGAACTGTTGCCCATGAGCGGAGTCTGAGGAGGGTTTACCCTCCTGTTTCACTGGGAGCTGAGCCTGGAGAGCTGGGAGAGTCACAGAAAAGGACTGTCCGGAAGCTTCGGCTCTGTGCCCAGCGAGGCCTTCAGATCCCACCCCACACTGGTCCCGAATCTCTTCCATGGCAGTCTTCTCCTCCTGTCAGCTAAGCTTTAAATCTCCACAGCCTCCCTTTCCCTGTTTTCTCTGAGGATGGAACCAATCTGTCCTGCAGCCTCTTCACCTTCTTCCTTCTAAGTAGCTTATGCCTCCAGGGGCATCCACCTTCCTACCCTGCAGCCCCGTTGGAGCCCCAGGAAGCTCTGGTGGGGGAGCCTGTACTTGCGCTGCTGACCCACAAAGGTGGTGCCTCTCTTGTGGTTCCAGTCAACCAGCAAAGTGCTCAGAGTGGAGTCGGGGTCTTAGGAAATTCCCAAGAAGAGGTACTTGGCTGCCCCTTTCTAGCTTCTGCCTGCTTTTGGTCTTTTCTCAGCAAGGATCAAAGCTTCACTTGCAGAAACTGGGTAACTCTGGTGATTAAAGTGGGTAGCCGTTAGAGTGCTAGGCTCTTAATGTGAAGCCCACTGGTTGGAACTCAACCAACTACCCTGTGGGCAAAAAATATGGCACTCTACTCTCATAAAGATTCCAGGCTTGGAAGAACAAGTGGGCAGTTCTGCTCTAACAGAATTGCTGTGAGTTGAATGTTGACCAAAAGGCAGAGCCCACTCGGCTGCCATGACAGGGAGAAATATAGATGGCTCGTGTGAGTCAGAGGGACTGTGCTCATCTGGAAAGGGTCAAGTGCAAGGGGAATCTTTCTTAATCCCACTTGGGGAAATTCTCAGGCTGAGGAGTTCAGTGATTGTTGTACAGGAGGAGTGCTGATAAGACGTGAAGTCACTGATGCCATGTTGCCCTTCTCTAGGGCCTTGTTCACCTTCAATTCTGGGTCAAATGCGGTGAGTCAGTGAGGATTTATGGATGATCCCTGTGTCCATCCTGCACCTGATCCAGGCCATGGTCTTCACAATCACTTGCTGTGCATCAGAAAGCTGGACAACGACTAGGGATGATAGAAGTAGTGATGCCTTTGAGCTGTGGTGCTGGAGAAGATTTCTAGGAGAACAAACAGGTGTCTCCCTGTGAGAGTGAAACCAGGCTGCTTCTTTAGCTGGCAGTTGTATTTCCTTTTTGTCACTGGCACTGGGTTCGGGGTCAGGTCTGAAGTAAAACTCAGTGGTAAGGTTACCTGTAGGAAAGGGAGCAAACCTAGAGAGAACAAACTTGTGAGTTACAAATAGAGGGGTTTTGGGGGTGTTGCTTTCAGGTTTACTGGGGGAGAGGGTGGCAGAAAGTAGCCTAGATAAAATTCTCTGGATACCCTATGCATTTTTTTTCCTACCCAGGGGTCAGATGGCACTGAGAAGCTCACCCTGAGGGCCATGATGGCTCGCCCCAAGCCGAGGGCGAGGACAGCCCTCCCTGGGCAGAGGGCCGAGGACAGCCCGCCCCAGGCAGAAAATCACAGTTTTTTTAAAAAGGATTACTTTTTTAAAAATTCTTCTGTCTTTTTCTCTGCAGCCTTCAGTACCGCAGGTCCCAAACTACAGGCTGTCAATGACGATCCCAGACTGGCTCCAGGCGATCCAGAATTACATGAAGACACTGCAGTATCCTTCCAGTCAGTGTGCGGGCAGACTCGCCAAAGAAACTGGGGTGGTAATCACCAGCCTAGCAGCATGTCTGTCTCTAGCTGGTCATTGCATGCTTCCCAGGGTTGGCGAAGCCACACTTGGAGAGACATCCCTATGAGAGTTTGTTGTTGGGGCTGCCAAGTTGATAATGATTCATAGTGACACCATATTTTAACAGAGTAGAACTGTTTCATTGAGTTTTCTGGGTCGAATCTTTTTGGGAGCGAAGAAGGATCACTTGGTGATCTTTCTCACCAGATGATCTCTCATGGAGCTGCTGGGTTTGAACCACCAGCCTTGTGGTTAGTAACCAAGCGTGCAACCATCAGAGCTCCTTCAGATACGACTAGAAAGTCACAAACAGACTAGAAAGTCACAAACAGTTATATAAATGCATTAAGCTGAACCTTCTTCCTCCGAGCAGGGTTAGGACAAAGATCTCAGGGGACTGTGAGTCAGTAGCAGGGACCTCTAACTTGACACCTCCAGCTCAGAGGTCTGGTTCCTCATTTTTTACTCCCCTTGCCCTTTCTCTCCTTTTGCCTCCCCAGGGCTGCCCTATTCATTCATCTTCTTATTTTTCTCAGACATTGTTTTTCTCCTCTTTCTTGAATGTCTATGTTTTCCTGCTCCTTTCTCCTATTCCTCTTTCTTCCCTCATTTTTATCCTTTCTTCCCAGACTGCTACAGAAGTGAACCTCCAGTTTAATGCAGGCTGATGGCCTTCCCCTATCCTGCATTAATGGAGGGGTTTCTGAGATGAAGGTTCTGTCACTCTATCTCCCCACTATTTTCAGACCAAGCCTTTGGTCTCCTTCTTCTTTCTTGTCCTTATATTGGCTGAAGTCAAGATTAGATCAGTCCTGACAAGAAAGCATATGTTGTTTTGTGAAACCTGTGTTGCACAAATTCTCAACTGTAGCTTTGTTCTCCAGTCGTGTTTCCAAGTAAGAAAACATGGGTTATTTTGTGAAACCTGTGTTGCCCAAATTCTTAACTGTAGCTTTGTCCTGAATTCCATATTACAATCTGAAATTTGTTCAATTTTGAATAACAGTCTGTTGGGGCTTTGGGAGCCTCTTATTTAAAGCAGTTAGGACTGCTGAAAAGAAAATAGAGTATAAAACTGCAATTTTTATCACTTTAATTCAGTGTTCAATGTATAAGGAACCTCCCTTCTTGAAAGAAATAATTGTTTTAAAAAAAAACCCATGGCAGGAAGCTGCACTGCAATCCCAGAGGCACGCAGTTCAAATCCACCAGGTGCTCTGCTGGAAAGGGAGGGACAATCTCCTCCTGTACCAGTCAGATCTGATTTGATGGTACACGCACACAATAAAATAATAAAATTTAAAAAAAAACCCACAAAACTTCACAATGAGTACAAACAGCCCTTAATTTTCTGTTTTAACTCTAAACCTCCCCCAAATCTGCTGTTATTGATAGTGACTTTATACGGCACATTAGAGCTAGCTGTCCCAGAGCTGTCCCAGAAGATATTTGAGGCTTGAATCTTTAAGAAACTATACTGCCTCATCATTTTTCCATGGCGTTAGTTATAGATTTGAACCCCCAGCCTTTCATTTGGCTCTCCAGTCCTTAACCCACCATACATCCATGGCTCCTGTTTTACCTCCAGGGTTTTTAAAGCTAGGAGATCCTGTATTATTAATAGTCATTCTTATTACCCACGTTAGTAAATTCCAAATTGGTGAGCTTGTTAAAAATATTCCTTGGCCCTCACTGTGGAGCTGCCAAGCAAGTAGTCTGCGATAAGGAGACAGAGGTCAAAACCATGGCTTGAAATTAGCCTCTGAAAGTGGAGCCTAGACTCCACTGTCCACCTCTTCTCAGGAAGTTCAGTGTGCACCAGCTCACCTGGTCAAGAATGAAGGGTCAAGAATGTTGGTGAGAGGGAAGAATCCCAGCCCTCAGGAGGGTGGAATCCTACAGCATTGAACTATCATTGTCTAGGGGCATCTCAGTTCCCCGTCTACAACTGCCTCTTCCTCTGTGAGGACACATATTTAAACTCATACTCCATGTCAGGGCAAATCCATGCATACAAGTTCACACTTTATCTTCACCTTTCCAATATGCCCTTTTTAATGTAAGATTTTGTTTGAGACAGGAGAGGGAAGTAAACAAAATAGTTTTTCTTTAGGCTCAAAAAACTCAAGATCCAATCTCAGACATCATAACATTAAGGAATCTTTGGTTTCTTTGATAATTGCATGAGTATAAATATCTACTAGACCCTGCGATCTCCTGGGCAACCAGCTGAATCCCACATTGTGGGTAATGATAGTATTTTCTCTGATTTCATTTTCAGCATCACCTGTCAGTCCAGGTATGAAATGCAAATGATGTCTCCACAGTAAACTAGCACAGTTTTGTGCTGTATGCAGAAAACACAGTGCCACACATCCAGCCATCTTTCCTTCCTTTCCACCCTCTCTTTTCATCCATCCAATGCAGCCACTGATCAGTTCAGTTATTACTGACTTATTTAATAGTATTTTCTAGCTGCCATGTGTTAAACTCATGCCAGGCTTTATGGTGGCATAATAATGACGTAGAAATGTCCCCCAACTCTACAAGAGCTTGCAGATAATGAATACTGGACTGGGGTGAGTGAACTGTAGGACATTCTGAAAGGGATATGTGTTAACCAGGTGTAGGACAAAGAAAAGATTTAAAAGTATGAAAAAGTGCACCGTATGTTGGAGTTGTAGAATACAGAAAATGGAATCAAGAGTATATTGAAAAAGAAAAAAAATTATATAGTCAAACTAAAATTATATAAATTATATAGTCAGAACTAAAAATACAGAGCTCTGGTGGCCTAGTTCTAAGAAGCTGCATGCAGTTTGAATCCACCAGCTGCTCCACGGGAAAAGAATGGGCAGTCTCCTCCTGTGCAATTAACTGCCTCTGAAAACCCATTGGAGGGTCAGCTATGGGTTGGTTCTGACATTACAGCAAACAACAACAATCACAAGCAACCATTATAAAGATAGAAGACATTCTGAGATCTAAGTAAGAAATTACCAAGACATATTAGTATGGAGTTAGAGGTGATTTGTTACCTGTTTTGCCACTGGACACCTAGAACACTCCCTTTTTCCATCCAGTGTGGACGTCAGCATGCATGACCTCCTCTGCTGGATTATTAGCCTCTTTGGAGTTCTCTGTCACTTTCCCTTAACTGACTTCACACAGATACAATCACACAGGGACCCAGTTCTTTGAAATCAGGAAAATGAGACCGCTGAGTGGGTAAGTAGTGGGATAAGTGGCTGTGGGGCAAGTAGCTTTTCTCCTTCTGAGAGCCCCCAACTCCATCTCCCACCCTCTCTCCCTGTCCCCCAGTGCACAGACCTGTAAAGGCAGGCAGAGTGTGTGTCCAGGGTCAGGCTGGAGGCAAACTTGGCTACTCTGACAACTGATCTCAGTGGTGAAGCCTTTTAGTGGAGCAAAGAGACTTGTGAAGAGACTTTGTGAGCCTCCTTTCCCTGCTCCCTTGTAAACTCTTCAAAATAGCCCCCTGGGTATGTCTAATGGGAGGGAGCTGTGGAACATGATCACTATGCCCCATCCAGGAACTAGTTCTTGCTGAAGGGAGTTCAGGCTTCACGATTTAGTTCTGCCAAGTGCAGCTATGCTTTGGAGCCCCCTTTCAAAACACATTCTCCCCATATGCCTCTCTTCTCCTGCTTGGTGTCTTATGTGGGGACAGCATGTTAATGGATTGATTGATAGACCAATTGCAAAATTAAATTAATCCAAACTTAGTTAATAAACCAGTATGAAATTTAAAAGAAATTTTAATTAAAAAAAATTAAATGAGTTACCCTGGAAGGGATTATGCCGAATGAAGTAACTCAGTCACAGAAGGAAAAGTACTGCATAACACCGCTATTATAAAATAGGACTGAGTGGATGGGAGGAGAATAGGAAAAGAGTGGCTAGATAATGAACACTGCATTGGAACAGATGAAAGAAAGAACTTTGTGAAAAGAATATATATTTAGACATTATATGTCTGGAATAAGAGGTGGACGGCAAAGTGGGCTGGGGAAGGGGAGGAAGGAAACTGTGCAACAATGAATGAATAAAAAAAAAGAGTAAATGAAGTCCTGAAATTGACATCCTGTGCCGTGCTTTACCTTATAGGTTAATGGAAACAGCAAAAGAAATGACGCGAGAGTCTTTGCCTATCAAATGCCTTGAAGCCGTCATCCTGGGCATGTATCCTTTAAGTTCCATGAGCGTATGTGTATTCCTGGGGTCCTGCTTGTACCTGTCCACCCTAGATTCACAGTGACGATGCTCATTTTCTCCTTGCAGAAAGTTTCAAGCTTTCCTGGTGCTGCGTTAGCTTTCGACACCTGGAGCTGAACCAAATCAAAGGTTGGCTCCTGAGCCTTCATCGTACTAGTCTGTTAGCTCCAATCTTCATCAAGGTCAACCAGCGTCCAAGGTGGTGACCTTGAAGATTCACTAGTCATAAGAATTCTAACTTACAGAAGAGAGAGAGAGTGTGTGGTTACTTCTTATATTAGTCTGACATTGCAACAGGAAATATACTCATGGAGAAATGATTTTAGGGCTGAGAGCTGGTATCCAGACGTGTCTCCAGAGAAAACTGTAAGTGTGAATTGTGGGGGGAGGGGGGGAGGGGTCAGGTAATGGTGTGAATGTGAACTCCCACCAAGTTTGAGTCCCGGCTCTAAGGAACATAAAACTGAAACAAGAGTTTGGGCTCTCCCATACATTGTTTGATTTTCCAACAGACTCCTGGTTCATCAGGCAGAAAAACTGATGCCATTAGCCTATTAATGATGATGGCAGTAGACCATGTTCAGGTAGAAGAGCAAAGAAATTGCAAGTCCTCTGGGCTGAATGACTAGAAGAGAAGTCAAAACAAATGCAGGACACAAACTTGAGAGGTGGTTTCAGGTAAGGCCAGTACAGCTTGTGAGTGCTGCCTTAAGGAGGCCTTTCCCCAAAAGGCGATGAAGTAAAACAAAACAAAACAAAAGGCTATGAAGTGCCCCATTGAAAGCTTGGAAGCAGAGCAAGAACATAACCAGATGTGCACTTAGCTAAGTAACTCTTAAGGCAGATGTTAAGGAGAAGGCTTAATCCAAAGTCTGCAAAGCCACTCAGGAGCTCTTGCTAGATGTTATTGGATTGATTTAAATTCCTAGCAACTCTGTGTGACAGAGTGGAACCCTTAAATGAGGGAGATGATGCTTGCCCCTGGCAGTGGGAATGGATTTGAGGGAATGGTGTTTAAAGATGTCAATGAGAGAGAATTAACAGGAGTAGGAGGCCAGGAGGATATAAGAGATGATGATGAGGGAGCTCCGGTGGCCTAGTGGCAAGAAGCCGCACTGCAGTCCCGAAGGTGCATGGTTCAAATCAAATCCACTAGATTCTCTGCTGGAGGAGCAATCTCCTCCTGTGCAAGTCAGATCTGATTTGATGGTACACAGCAAAGCGGTGTGGGGAGAGATGATGCGGAAGGAGGAATACAACAGTCTAGGTTCGGCAGCAGCCTTTGAAAGATGGATTGGAGGAATGAGGGTTTGCTGAATCTCTGCAATGAAGGTGGAGGGAAAGTGAGGGATCATCGGCATCACTGTGGACTGATTAAGTGTGAGGAATTAGGGGATGACTAGGAAATTAGTCCATATTTTTGCTTTGGGTAATGGAATAGCCCAAGCCCCAGGAAAGGACTTAAAAGGGAAGATCAGATTTATGGGGAGGTAAATTCTGAATTGGATATGCTGAATTTGATGTGCTTGTGGGATGTTGGGCTTGAGCTGTTGGGCTGGGGCAAGTTGGAGGAAGAGTTTCATTAAAAAGAAAATGAGGGTGTCCTTACTTAGAAAATGAGAGTTACTACTCAGGTTCCTGGGTGGGACAAAAGATTTTCACACACTTAATAGCTGAATGGTTGCTGGTTCAAAGGCACCTAGAAACTCCTTGAAAGGATGGCCCGGTAATCTAAGTCCAAAAAAAAGTCAGCCATTGAAAACTGAAGCAGTTTTACCCTGACACAGGTGAAATTGCCATGAGTTGGAAACAACTCCGTGAGGCCTGTTTGAATTGAGAGGAAGACCCCAGATGAGATGGACTGACACAGTAACTGGGGGAACGGGGGCAGGTATGTCGGAGACAATGAGCCCGGCCCAGGACAGGACAGGCTTCAGAGCTGTTGCACACAGGGTGGTTCTGAGTTGCATGCGACTTGATGACACATAACAACAAGGAGTGAGAAGAGAAAAAGATCAAAGAAAGCTCAATATTTTTGGTCAAAGAATCCATGAAAGTGACTAAAAAGGCCACTTTGAAAGGTAGTAGGAACATCAGGAGGGAGAGATACAGAGGGCCAGGTGATTCACAATCAAATTGGTTTATTGGGGACAACTATTGCTAGCATCTGTTGACACCAAATCATTTTCACTCCTTGTCCAATGAAGCTAATTGGTGCCTGGTCTTGTGTCTAGGATTGGTTGAAGATCAGACTGTTAGGATCCATAGGATTTTCATTTGCTGATTTCAGGCTTTTCCTCCAAGTATCTCTTAGTTTGGAAGCTTCTCAAAATCATAGCACACAAACTTCCACTGACAGACAGATAGATGGTAGCTGTGCATGAAGTGCATTGACCAGAAAGTTGACCCAGGTCTCCCAAATGGAAGGCAGAATTCGACTGTTGAAACATTAGTATCTAAGATGCTCCTTGGACCTTTCTCTTGTTATGGTTGTTAGTTGTTGTCGAGTTGACCACAACTCATAGCAACCCAGTAAATAACAGATCTGGACTGTCTCCTATCCTGTGCCGTCCACATCATCTCTGATATACTTGAATCCGTTGATAAAGTCATTATGTCAATCCATCCTGTCTTCCTTTCCCTTCACTAACCCTCAACCTTTCAAAACATGGTATCTTTCTCTAAGTATTGCTGCCTACTAACAACATGCCTAAAGTATATGAGACGAAGTTCTACCATCCTTGCCTCTAAGAAGCATTATGGTTTCACTTTCTTCAAAACATACTTGTTTGTTCTCTTTAAGGTCCATAGGATATGCAGTACTCTTCCCCAAAACCACAACTCAAAGGCATTGCTGCTGCTTCTGTCACCGTTATTCACTGTCAAACTTGTAGATGCATGGCAAGTAATTGAAAAGACTACAGCCTGGATTAGGCACACCTTAGTCATTAAACTGGCATCATTGCTCTTCAGTACTTTGTAGCGTTCCTGATAGCAGATTTTCCCAATGCAACACATCTTTTGGTTTCTTGACTCCTGGGACAGTCAAGGTGTTGATTGTGGATCAAATAAGATAAAATCTTTGGAAATGCCAGTCTTTTCTCCATTTATCAGGATGTTGCCTGGTGGTGAGAATTTTTGTTTTCTTGATGTTGAGATGCGATCCAGATTGAAGATTGGCGTCTTTGATGTTCTGCAGCAAGCACTTCAAGTTCTCCTTTTCAGAGCTCAAAGCTGTATCACTTGCATAATGCAGGTTGTAGCTAACTCTTCTCTGATCTTAATGCTACATTCTTCATATAGTCCAGCTTCTCGATTAATTTGCTCAGTGTACAGATTGAATAGGTATGGAGAAAGGATACAGCCCAGACCCACACCTTTCATAATTTTAAACTGTGTGGTGTTTCCCTGCACTGTTTGGATGACAGATTGTTGGTTTTGCATGAACACAATTAAGTGTTCCAAGATTCCCATTCTCCTCAAAGTTAGCCATAGTTTGTTGTGATCCACATAGTTAAATGCCTTTGCATAGTCAAGAAAGTCAAGAAAGAACAAGTCCACATCTTTCTGGTACTCTATACTTTCAGCCAGGATCCTTTTTTTTAAAAAAAAAATTATTTTTTGTGTATGTACTGTCAAATTGGACCTAACTGGTATTGCAGTGCAGCTTCCTGCCACTAGGCCACCAGAGCTCCCCAAAGGATCCTTCTTAAATCAACCGTGATATCCCTGGCACCACAGACTTTTCTAAATCTAGCCTTAATTTCTCACAGTTCTCTGTTGATGTACTGCTCTAGCCATTTTTTTATAATCTTCAGCAAGATTTTACTTGCATATGATACTAATATTGTTCGAGAATTTCCACATTTGGGTCTCTTCCAATCAGTTGGCCAGATATCTGACTTCCAAATTTCTTGGCTTAGACTGGTGAGCACATCCGGGACTGCATCTCTGTTGAAACAGGTCAACTGATATTCCATCAATTCTTAGGGTCTTTTTTATTGCCAATACTTTTAATGCCAACTTGGAACTTCTTCCTTTCTTACCATTCGTTCTTGATCATATGCTACTTTCAAAAAATGTTTTCATGTCAGCCAATTTGTTTTGGTACAGTGACTCTGTGTATTCCTTCCACCTTCTTTTGATACTCCTTGCATCATTCAAGATTTTGCCCACAGCACCCTTTGGTGTTGCAAGCCAAGGCTTGAATTTGTTATTATTCAGTTCTCTGAGCTTGAAAAATGCTGAGCTAATTCTTCCCTTTTTTGTTTTCTATTCTAGCTCTTTGCACATTTGATTATAATAGTTTACTTTGTTTTCACACATGGTCTTTTGAAATCTTTTTATGTCTTTTACGTCATCATTTCTTTCTTTCGTTTGGCCTATTGACATCCAAGTACAATTTTCAGAGTCTCTTCTAGCATCTTTTTTCATCTTCTCTTTCTCTTCTGTTTTTATTTTATTTTTTTTTCTCCTCTCTTTTTGTAAAGACCATTTATTTGCATTCTTCATGGATGATATCCTTGATGTTATTCCACAACTGGTCTTTGATCATTAGTGTTCAAAGCTTCAAATCTATTCTTAAGATGGTTTTAAAATTTGGATGGGATAGACTCAAGGTCATATTTTGGTTCTTATTTTAACTTTCTTGTTTTGGACTTATTTTAACTTTCTTTTTTCCTATTTTGGACTTGTTTTAATTTCTTCCACTTTAATTTGAACTTGCACATAAGTAACTGAAGATCTGCTTCATTTCTGTAGGAAGGGACATTTCTGAGTCTCTCTGCAGAGCACTCCTTAGAAGCAAGGATTACAAATTGCTGTCTCCCATACTTTGGGCGTATGTTAAATATCCATTCCTTGGAAAGGGACATTATGCTTGGAAAAGTGGAGGGTCAATGAAAGAAGACACTGCATGAAATGGATTGTGATGCAGTGAGTGCAGACTTGAGCTCAAGTATGTCAAG